TTGTCGATCCAGACCGATGCGAAGGCGATGTCAAGTTCAAGCCAGCCGAACGCTTCCCAGCGTCCCTTCTCCAGGCTATTGAAGGCTCCTCGTGCGTTCGTGTGGTCGTCCAGCGCTCGTAGCCTCCACCCCTCGATGATGCTATGTGCGGTCGCGTCGAGCAGTGCGAGCAAGGCGCGACGGTCTTCGGGGTACTTGTGCAGTAGCTTGGAGTATGTGATCAGCGTGGCTTCCGAGTCTGCGTGCAAGGTAGAAATCTGGCGTTGTAGTGCTCGGGCATCCTTCGCTAACGAGGTACCCATGTTATAGGCGAGAAGGTGGGCCGTGAATGCCCATTGTTGGCGGATTGGACGATGTGGGGTGAAAAGTGAGAGAAGGGCCGCGTGCTTGGATGAGTGGGAAGGAGCTCACGGCCACGACGACATTCCTGGATGGCAGTGACGGCAACCTGAGCTAGGCTGCTTTGGGTCAGCGTCGACCTCCCACAGTGCATCTTCTTAGGTGCCTGCCGAATCGAACGAGATAATGAGAAGATCTCGACAAACGATTTAATACGCTTACTACACTCGGCTTCGGTGAGATGCAAGAACCTCTTCGAATAGATGCTGCTATCATCTGAAGGCAGCAACGCTCAGCCCGTGCGCGGATGCGACATCGCCACCACCCGAACTGTCAACCAGTGTTTCGATTCATATCGTATGAGATTCGGCACTGTGACAAGACTCAAGGAGAGTGACTTCCAGAGATTCTCGATGCATGAATCCATTGCCGCCTGCGATTGCGACCATCCATGCCTCGCAGGGTAGGAATAATGAGTATCCGGTTACAGACGGCTAGCCAGTTCTTCGTCTATGAATCGTCTCGGAATGGGTGATACCGCTATCTTCTGGAAGCTCGATTCCACTATATCAATAATCCATCCAGCTTTGCTAGCACATCAGTTGAAGGAGCTGGTCACGCCACCCTTCGAAAATTGACGTTACCTAGGTAGACATGGCTCTGATCCACATCGCAGTCTACAAATAACTTGCTTGGTAAAGTTCATACATGTCTTCAAAGCATGCTAGGTATCAAGAGTTGATACAATGTAAGCAACAAATACGAGATAGAGTTTAGCTACCCCAAGTATCGATACATCATTCCAACGTACGGTCCAGAGCAGGAAGTGGTTTTCGCGCGAGAGCAATCGAAGATGATTCGATGTCAAGTTACGACCTCATCATCATCCAGGTCAGACGGAAGGGTAATTGATACAATGCTAGCAAGGCAGAAGGTAATACAACCTGTGCAAGCGGGGGCATGGGAGCCGGATACATGAAGATGTCGACGTTGTCAAGAAAGTGATTGCGGCTATTCAGCCTCCATGAGTAGGGAAAGAGTGTTGATCATGACAGAAGGAGAAAGCCACATGGAGCTGCTGGCGGCTCATACCAATCCCTTCGCTGAGCCCCTGCACCACGATATTCGAGGCCTGGCTGAACCCATGGTCGGAAGCTTCTCCTGCCGCCCAAGATTACTCTGACCCGACTGGTATTTCCATTCCTCCGGCCACATTCGTTTCGGTGCATCCGTAAAGTCTTCTATGTCGTGAAAAGGGGCCGCTTGTGTGGTGGGGAGGAAGTATCGCAGGGAGCCTACAGACGTCGTCGCTCAAGGCGGGAGGCCTTTCGATGGGGACGGCGCAGATTCCGTCCAGCCATGACCTTCCAGCTCATACCGCCTCTCCTTCGTACAGCAAACTCAAGCGCTGCGCCGCCGATCGGTTCTCGTTGTTGCGCGTTCTCGGTCATAGCAGATTTCCCCCTTGACGGTTTTCTTGTTCGCGGCGACGTGGAAGAGAGGTAGGCAATTGTGCGACGCGGGGCAAGACGTCAAGCATGCGCGTTGTGCTTGCTGCGGGCTGATCGTCGGAAAAGTGGCTCGGCTGTGGCCATCACATCGGTCGTGGAGGTCGTCTAAGTGGGGATGTCAGCAGCTGCCATTCCACTTTTGGGAGGAGAAGATGTCGTACCAGCGCCATTGCTCTCGAAGACCAGACGTAGAGACAGCGCCTTTACGTGGATGAGTGAAATCGCCTGCGCATGATTCAGCCACCCCGGCTCCTTTGGAGGAGCTGGACAGCGGTTCGCTTGGGTCGCGCTCGAGCTCGAATAGTCATGGCGCGACGAGACTGATGGAGAGGAACCGCGATGACGCGATTTTTCCTTCAGTTTGATTCGTGAGATGGGGAAAGATGTGTGGACGGCGGACACGCAACACCAGGAGCACGTCAACCTGGGGGAAAAGTGAACAACCTGGGGTCTACATCGATGTTAACACACCCAATTTGCATGTACTCATGTCAATGTAGTCTGCAGACGTGTTCAATTTTTCCCTTGTATGAGGTGGGAGCGCTGTGGCGAGATGTCGATGCGGGGTCGCGTTGGACCACCTGGGCAGATTCGCGCTCGCGTACGTCCTCACGTGCGCGAGAGCTTGACCGTAAAAGGGCTAGCTCCACATCGGCGACATCATCGACTGACCCAGACCTTGACATCTTCATCCCCATCATCCCCATCATCCCATGCGTCAATCGTGTACTCTCGATCTCAATCTGCAATATTACGTTCCCTGTTCGCATATCTCTGGTGGTTGTAACTACGAAGAATTAATACTCTCCTCTTCTCCGAGGTCCTATAACCACTACTACTGCGTCTATTCCAGCCTGTTCTGACCCCAGTACTTGAGTATGCGGTCTATCATTTTCCCACGGGGTGGAACCGAGGTTGATGGTACCGTCACGGCTCACTCATCACCTTCACCTGCTACACAACGATGAGCGTTACGCGGCATTCTCCATCCTCACTCACCTCACTCACATCTCATCTGAACGATGGGATCATAGAGCTACATCCTTCTATTCTCCTGAGCTCTCATTGCAATCAGCATCGAACATATTCTTCTCTCTCTCTTCACGACACATCATTCCCCAAACACCCCGGACCTGCACACACGAGCCTTCTGCAAGTGCATCGCGAGAATATGGCGACAGCTCCCGACCCCAGTGTCTCTTACCGCAAGCTCCAGGACCATTTTGCGACGCTGGAAACCAATTGTCGAGCAGAAGAAACGGCACTGCAGGCCGCGACCCTGCGCGATCGCGCCTTCTTACACGAGTTTGACGAACGCGCGCTACGTATCAGGCAAGAACTGCGGGCCGTTCAGCGAGATGCAGAAGAATTCATTTTCCACATGGACTGCAAGCAATCGGTGGGGGAACATAAACAGCGCTTGCCTATCCGACGCAGAGTGGAGTCTATCGTCGTAAGGACTTGGCCCATACAATTCTTTCTATGCGCTGACCCAGTGAGTAGAAGAAGACAGCAGAAGGGGCCAACAAGTACGCGCGGATGCTTGGCGCATTTGACACCGCGGATGTAGGACGACGCGCTGGGGAGTTGGATGGAAAAGCGGTGAGGGCGTCGGCGCATAGCGGCAGTGCTGAGGCACGTAGCGGAGCTGCCGTGAACAGGGGTTTGGATGCAAAAGTGGATAGACGTGCAAGAGAAGGCAAGAAGGACGAAGAATGGGAGTTGGTCGCATCTTGAGGGCACAACTACCACCCGTACACGGCGAGACAATTCCAGGGTACAAAACCATATCAGCTAATGCTAAAAGTATTTCGCTTTCTCATATTCCTGGAATGATAACAGATTAGGCAGCCTTGACTATGGAGCTGACATCGCGATCCCTTCTACATTGTGTGCACGCCAACCTAGGAAAAAACTAAACAGCCTGGAGCCTACGTTAGCGTTGGGTCACCGCCTTTGCAAGGTTTTAGCATAATGTAGCCTGTAGACCTGTTCAGCTTTTCCCTTGTATGAGGTGTGTTAGCTTATTCTGTTCCATTGGTATTCAATGGCCACGATGTCGCAGCCTCGCTCTCACCACCAAACATGGAGAACCTTATGAAAACATGTTAGAAGACTTGGTGCCCGAAAAACGACTCTTGTCCATCCAGTGAGGTCTTCATGCTTGCTATAGCGACACCTGGGAGACGTTGCTGGCGATATTAGCATCAGCGCACGTCATGTGTTTGGACGCATAGCAATGGGATCAATATGGACTCACAGCCCTTATGCGGGAGTGTGACCCGCAAGCTCCGCCTGCATCAATTCGGATCCACTTGCATCAACACGGTATACGCGAAGGCTCGTACGTCCAATGCCGAAACCTTGATCTTCTTCTCCTCAGTCTCATGTAATCCCGATACTTCATGTTCCAGAATTGGAAAAGGGAATTGCCGGTGGTGGAGAACTTCGTCAGGCCATCTTTTGGTCATGGAATCGAGATCAAGATCGAGCTGGCGCGTGTAGCAGGGAAACGTTTCATTACCCCCTTCGTAGCAGTAGGTGTATTGTATGTGGCAGTCCAAAAACGCACCATTAGTTCACGAAGCAGACACATGTAGACCACGTTTATGATCTAAATAGCTTTGTGGCTTTGAGCTCGTTGGATCTCTTTTATTCATAGCACATGACTATTTTGTGCGTTGTATTGGCAAGATCTTTGCGTCACCTCCACTGCCAATCATTTGCAAGTGATAAGGCTATGAAGCGATATGGCTCATTATAGTAGCGCGTAGAAAGCGCAACTACTAGCTGAGAGTGTCGTAGAAAGAGGACAGCTTCACTTTCTTAGCACACATGTGACCCAGACCCAATGACATGCCGTATCTCGACTGTATCGAAAGATTGCACCTGGCACTTGACGTCCGCCGCATGCTGGTCTTGGAAATGGAGACATAGGGAGGTAAGAGCACAATAGCATTGTGGGAACAAGTGCCGCGTACCACTCTTTGCCCAAATGCTTGTGAACCGTTCGGCGCATCGTTCTCCGGTATTCTTGACGTAATCGGCCACAGATGTCGGAAGCTCGGCAAGTATCGATGTCGTGTGCGCTGGAAACTCAGACTCTGATTTTGCTCGTTTCATCTAGATGTCATCCATGGAGACGCATCTTTAATTCTACGCGCGGAAAATTTCGGGACGCAGGTGGAGTCGTGCAGAAGGGTACCTTGACTGGGGGCTTCGGACGGCCTGGTCAGTACGGTCCAGTCGCCTCGCTGTGGCCGAGAGAAGACGGCGTCTTGATCATCGGTGTCGCTGCTGCTTGAACCGCGAGAGTGCTTTTGGATGCCAGTAGATTTGCTTGTTTGGTGGGAAGGCGGTGCCGTGGCTGCGACGCCGACGCTCCTGGTGTAGTCGGGGTAGAGCTGTGGCAAGGGGATCTTTTGTTTGTATCTGGTAGGTACGCCTTCCCAAAGATCCTGCATGTAGTCTTCCTCCGGTGTAGAAGCGCCCATGGTCATTCTGCCCTCGCGATGCGCCTTCCCATGTTCGGTGCCGCAATGCTTCGCCAAGATCGCCTCCGGTGTATGGGCAGGACGCGACTCGATAGCATCACGGCCGTAGTGGGCTCTTCTATGTTCCATTTGATCAAGGAGCAAACGTAGGCTCTCGTCAAGATCCAGGACGAAGTCAAAGTCGTATGACCCGGCCCAGTCGGGTGTAGCCGGTCGAGTGATGAGGCAGCGGCCTTGTGTTTCAACTACCCGCGCTGCCATGTATACCGCATCGGGATCGAGGCTGCCGAGGGACATCGTGGGGAAGCTATGGGTGGTTGCGAATTGAAGCATTGGTCGTGTAGAGATTGATGTCGTCTAGGCCGCTGCTCCAGCTCCCGAATGTGAATTATGGAGTGGGGCCGTGGGTGGAGTCAGGTGGCCGCTGCAAACGCTCAATTTTTGATCGAAACTGCGACCTCTGTCCGAGTGAGGCACGATAGCTTCAGTACGCGCAGGTGGCTCTTCCCATGTTCAAGGGCGCAACACAAACATCATGGCACCACTTGCGACATTGACAGCAGTCAACGCTACCGCCGGATTGGCGTTCTATTGTGGCGTCAATCGGTGTTTGCAAGCACATCCAGGATATCTCATGGTAATTCGGTCGGAGGTGGCATTCGGATGTGTACTGCAACCACTGTTTACACCGTGGTTTTTTTCGGTACAGACTTTGCCAGAACCGGACTAGCGTGAACGATGCCCCTCGTCTCGTCCCCCAGGCCCTACCCTCATCTTCATCTCTCCCTCATGCTCGGTCTCCGCGGCCCGCGGCGCTCTTCATTCGAATTGCGCTGGTTTTCATCTGGGTGTCCGTCTCGCTCACCCCTGTCCGCGCCGTATTCCTGTCCCTGCCATGCCAAGTTCAACGGCCGCGCAACCGGCGTCCGCATAACGGCTTCTAGATCCTACCTTCCACGCTGATACGTCTGCGACGCTCCATTTCCAGAAGGAGGGACACGTTCAAACGTGGGGCAGAAGACTGAGCGGGAGTTGCAAACGTCGCCCAACTGGTAAGGCGCCCTACGCATTAACCGTAGCGCTCCGCCTCGTTCCCAGGTTAGTTGGGAGAATTCCTCCAAGGGGTGCAACCCTGGTGTCGCGCTCAACACGCACATCGGTTCGGAGTGGTTGTACGGTCAACGTCTGTCACCACCGGACCCATCGTACCACCATGTCGACGGCAATTCATTCTCCAGCACGAGCTGCATCTTATCACCCAAAATCTCCCGCACGCGCGATCCCTACCAGGGGCTGAGCGACTCTCCAGCATCAAACATGGGGAGGTGGCTGCTTACAGCCGCCAGCCACGCTATGCAAGCCATTTACGCCCCATCCGCAAGCAACATCTACAGTACATGTCTCAGCCGCCCGATCGAGACAGGCTTGCGAGGTGCGTACGTCTTCCATCCTCAGCCTCGCTGTCCACGACCTTAGAGCAGCACTGCCTACGTATGTATCAACAACAGCTTCCTTTAGTCAATATGTATAACGGTGAAATGCCCCGTGGGTTCATTGCCCGCACAAAACATCACAGATATCTACATCTGCTTCCCGTGTTGCTCATACCATGAGATATACACTTGCGCTTCTCAGCGCCTTCCTACTGCCCTTCCACTGCATCGCTTCACCCACACCCACGTCAATACCGTCCCCAGCCACTGCCGCTAGAGATGTTATAAGCTCTCTTCCATCAGCAACCGCTCCGCCTTCTCGTCGTGATGACGACTTCGCACCAAGCATTGCGCCGTTCTCGTTGGACCTTCCCACAATATCGATCGCAGAACCTTCCATACCATCTCTCTCGCTTGATCTTCCACCCGAGACTTGCACGCCTGGCTTCAGCTCGTATGCGACTCCTGGGCTTGATGGCTACGTCCCTGCGGAGGCATGCAATGCGTTGTGGGTATACTTTCCCAACTTCGCCGCAGCGGTAGCCTTCTCCGTCCTGTTTGGCATGCTCACAATCGCACATCTGGTTCAAGCAATTGTGTACCGCAATGGATTCTGCTGGGTAATCATCATGGCCGCTCTTTGGGAAACTGGCGCCTATGCATTTCGCGCTCTTGGTTCCAAGAACCAACAATCCTCCGGCGTTGCAACGGTCGCTCAGATCTTGGTTTTGGTAGCGCCTATCTGGGTGAACGCTTTCGCCTACATGGTCTTCGCCCGCATCGTTCACTTCTACTCGCCCACTCGCAAGGTCTGGTTCTTCTCCCCCTCCATCCTCGCACTCATCTTCGTCACCCTCGACATCGTCTCGTTTGTCATCCAGCTCGTTGGCGGGGGAATGGCAGGTCCAGGTGCAAGTCTGGAAGCACAAAAGAAGGGCTTGAACATATACATGGGTGGTATCGGTATGCAGGAAGGCTTCATTGTTCTGTTTCTGGGGTTGGTCGTCAAGTTTCACCGCGACCAGCTCCAGGCGGAGAGGGTGGGACGCTTGCCCGCGGACAAGACTGGTGGCTGGACATGGTTGCTGTACGCGCTGTACGCATGCTTGTTGGCTATCACCATTCGCATCATCTACCGTCTCGCCGAGTTCTCCGCCGGTCTTGGCGCAAGCAACCCTCTGCCGAGCAACGAGCCTCTCCTGTACGTCTTGGAGTCAGCTCCAATGTGTTTGGCCATCTTCGTGTGGAACATAGTCCATCCTGGTCGCTTTATCCATGGCCCGGACGCCAAGATGCCGCGCTCGTGGCTGTCACGCCATCTTTGCTGCTGTTGTGGCAAACGTCGTTGCGACGACTGCAATGGTAAGCTTGGCCACGCTGGACCTCATCATCAACGCCTAGGAGACGACTCGGATCTGGAAGACAACCAGGAAATGCATCCCGTGCCGAAGAGTGCCGGAGGTCATCATGCCGTAAGCCCGACAAATCCTTTCCTGGATGAAACATCTCGCGACTCTTCCTCGAATTCCGACTCCAGAGAAGGGTACCGGCTTCGCCCTTCGTCGACTGCCGCAAATTCCCGCGATGTAAGCCCAGAGCCAACATCATATACTGCATACCGTTCTCGCGGGGTTCTGGGCTAAGCGGAACTAGTTCAATCCCCTTAGCTCGCTCCATTGGCAGCGGGTTCATTCGAGGACAGACAGTATACATTGAACATGAATGAAGAGAAGTTATTGAGTAGACCAGTGGTGGCTGTAGAGCCGTACAATCATATACAGGTATGTATCATGGACTTGGGTAAACAAAAAGCAATGTTAGACCTATCACAAAATGATCTGCCCGTGAGCCATGCCCGCCGTTTCGACTGGGTTTCTTCCGGGGAAAGAATATACCCAGTGCATCCTGACATCCTGATCCTTGGTCCACTTCTGGGCGATCCCCAGGTTCAATGAGGGGGCGGGTTCATGCATCTTACCCCGTGCTTCACGCAATGATTGAATGTAACCTCCCCACCAACACCAAACTTGACGTCTTCGTTGATACACTTCAAAGGAGGAGAGATAGGCGGCTTCACGAGCAGCGGGGGAATTCCGAGTTCCAGGCCTCTCTGGTGGTAATCGTGAGTGCTCATCTTGACGTTGCAAAGCGAAATATCAACCTCGAGAGTCATGGCAATGAAAGACTGCTTACCGGCTAGCTTGCTATGCATGATGGACACTTCCTGCTTCATTGCCCCCCTTAGCTCAAAACAGTCCTTCTGGTTGGGCTTTGGGCCGATCACGACGGTGAGGTCCAAGTAGTCCAGGTGCCTATGGCGAAGGTATTCGAGGTCTGCGCGACGACGACGAATCTTCATGGACTGCACCTGGTCTGGCGCTTCTGTTGACTATCCACCTTCCGAGGAAAACGGATCCACTACGTCACCTCTCCATGCGATGTCGGAGATACGCTTGGTCGGTGCGGGCGGAAGTCGTGGCGGCAGCGGCACTCCGTAGAAGCCGTTGATGAGCTTCGCGAAGGAGTTATTGTTGGCTTCAACTCCAGGGCTAATTATGGTTTGTGGGTGTGAAATAAGAGTTATGAGTTGATGGGGTAGGAAGTGGAGTGTAGGAGTCTTGGTTGTCTCGAGCCTAGTGAAGTATATTGCCTACCTGCGCGCGTACGGAGCCTTCTCCCACCTTGAGCGTTGAGTAGGAAAAGCATCCAATACCATGCTACTACCTGCAATGCTAAATTGCTTATCGCCAGTGTAGACTAGGATGCTCAGATGTGTGGCAAGCCTCTTGTGTGATTCGCCACGTGGCTTGACGCCTGCGTCAACGCAAGACAAGGACTTGCATAAGCCCTGTTCCAACATCTGTCCGATGTTAGGCTCACATTAGTATAATATTGGCGTGACGGCCAAACGAGGGTCACGCGAAGTGGAGACTCAGTGCGGGAAATATCAGTAGCATTCTCGTCTGCCGCTCAGCCGGTGCTGTCACGTCATCTGTCTAAGTCTACGAATGGGTGTTTGGGTTTCGTGCAATTTGGGAATGATAGTCGATGTCGAAGATGAGCAAGCTGGTCAGAAGTGCAACTTGAGCTGGTGGCATTCCCCCTCCACGAACCAGGCCTCGAAGCCGAAGAACATGCTCCGGTTTTCCTGGAACGTCAGACGACCAATGTGTATGCCCAAGGGCACCGTTTGACTCTCTTCCACTGCACATACCAGAGCACCACTGTCGCCCGGGGCGGCGAACGGGGTGCATTCAGCGATCCAGTTAACGATGCCGGCCCACTTGTGCATGTCGTGCCACCATAATTTCTCCAAGGAAATACCGAGATCCTTGATCTTGAGCTTTTCGTCGGGGTTGTCTCTGACCTCCTGCTTCACTGGTGCATACTAGGCACCTTTCATGCTGAAGTGTATGTTCGTCAGGATACCGAAGGTTTTGCCGGTCGTGAAACCCTCCTTGTACACGCGGATGCCTGGTCTCTGCTGTATCAGGCTGTTTATCTGGAAGCCACGCGTGGCCTCCCTCTCCATATCAAATTCTCGCGAATGCCCGTTGGCTCCGTAGTAGTGGAGACTTATCCGGGGTAAAGCGGCCTCGACCTTGTGCTTGTCGTCGTCCTGAACTTTGAGGATTCCCACTTCTCTGGCCATCTTGCTTAGCGGATCAGTGTAGCGAACGCGCAGGTGATCGGCCTTGATCTTCTCGAGGGTGAGCCGACGCTCAATCTCGAAGGTACATTCTGTGGTAAGTGCATACAGGCCTGCCCCGATATCATCCAGGCCCATACTTTTCCAATCCCAGGAGAGGTACCGTTGCGGTCGACGATGCGATCCCAAATATGCAGTGCAAGGATCTGACGACCGTTTGCCATGTTCGAGTGCGTGGTCTTGCGATCCACAACCATGGAGACGACGTTGACCCAACCCAGAAGCAATGTCTGCGTCTAAACCACTTGTCTGCTCTGAAACACACTTCAGCACGTCTCATGACCTTCTTTGTCGCTGTGTAGTCGTCTGGGTGTGGAAAATCGGGTTCGATATGCGGAGGTTCTGAAGCCACACTGTTCAGTTATGTCGGCCCCTAGAGTCTGAGGATTGCGATCTCTCATTTGATGAGGAGTAAATTCTGCGTATGTGGTGGTTATGTATTCCGGGAGTCATCAGTGGCTCGTCTCGCATGTTGGCCCCTAGCATGTGACAACAGTGACGACTTCAGCGTCCGCTTCAGCCGTGTCGCAGTACTGGTCGAGAACCGAGCGACGTGCCAATTTTCGCTTTGTCGGTAATGAAGACAGATTGCCGCACGAGCAGCACCCGTGCGTCTGCAGTACAACAAGTAGTCAAAAGGCTGTCTATCGATCGAGATTCTATGGGTTGTTGTTGTCGTGTTCGCGAATTCCGCCAGGGGAGCTGACGACGTCAGACGTGTCGCAATGTTGAGAGTCCATGTGGTCAGTCGAGAGGTTATGTCACTGCTCGGTGCGTGTAGGGTCATCCCTCCGGTCGATGCCGCGAAGAGAGGGTCCATCACAGCTTTCGAGCGAGTGTCAGCAGCTGCGTTGCCCCGCATGACGGCCAAGCGCGAACCACCCCGAGCTAGATCCGCGCCGTTGAGCTTGAAGATCAACATACGGCCCGCACCGCGACTGCGGCCCCGCTCAGTCCAGGGCAGTCATCCCAATAAGTCCACCAGTGAGGGCGAAGGTTGAGGGGAGTCGTGCAGATATCTGTCGCATTGGATCTTGCTAGATCTCTCCCGGTTTTTGCCCGTGTAAACCGTTGTAGACGCGAAGGTTCGATGGGAGAGACGAGTGGGCGGATAGGTGGCATGCTGTCTCCGGTCTCCCGAGCCTCACAGATTTTTGGCAGCTGCATCCTCGCTCACCACATGTTCAGCCCAACACATCTATGAAAGCGAGAACACAAGGAAGGATACGCGAAATGGCTTTGGATGTACTTGGGTCATTGCATGCTAGTCAACGAAGGGCGCATACGACACCTTCATTTGTGCGGACTGCGGCCAGGGCATCTTGAGAAGAAACGGGGAGAAGCTCGGTGCAATGTGTGCTGGTATCCATATTTACATAATATGAAGACTAAACCAAAAACGATGCCATACAACACATTGCCGGGACCTCAAATCCCGTACTCTAAGGCATGAGCTAAAGAGAAGCTCACAATCGAGGGGCATTCGTGCTTCTCACGATGAGTAGCAGGGCAAAGTCTGCTACAACTTGCGCGACCCCCTTCGTCTCCATCACCTCCACCACTGGTTTGGTGGTCGCTGTCTTCTTGCGTCCGATGGCGGTCGCGCTACCACTGGCACCCGCGTTTCCAGGCGATCTGTGGCGCCCGTGATCTTGAACCTTCTCTAGGACTGTGAGAGCTCGTCAATCTGATCTTGCGGAACATAACTCTCAGCGGAATCTCTCTGCCTCTTTCGGGTTCGTGGTAATGATGTGTGGTTGCTGTTGGTTGCCTTTGACTTCGAGGTCGACTTGGGTGTTGCCACACTCCTACGAGGCGTCTTTGGATTCGCCGTGGCTTGGGTGGTGTGAGAACGGACAGAAACCGATCCGCGAATAGCGAGTGCTGACATGCGTCTAGCCTCTTTCAATTCGTGACTCGCCTTCTCTATAGCGCGAGCCTTTTGCCAAAGGGGAAGTGCGTCCTTGATAGCTTGAAGCCGATCCGCAAGCGCCCAGTCCAGGTGGCTCTTCAGGATCGCTTGGGCCTTCGCGATCTGCTTCTCCATAGACAAACTGCACGAGTACAGTTCTTTCATAAAGTATTTTCCATTGTCACCCCCTTCGCTCCAATGTAGCCAGAGCTGGAGCAGCATCATATCGCATGTAACGGACATGTGCATGGTGTAGGCCGAAGTCGCAGGTATAATATCGCCGTACGCGGACTCGAAGTATTGCCGATGGTAATTTACGATCGTCGCGCCGTGGAGAGCAGACTTCTTCATGGCGTTAAGGATGGAATGTCCGTCTGCTGCTTCCCACTCGGCAGTGAGGAACGGGAAGGATAGTTCGGGGTTCAGCGTGAAACTAGCAATCTAACGTCAGCATGGGAATCTGGCGAGTGATCGTCAACTCACTTCTCCAGGAGCTCGTTATCCTCTTCCGTCAACCCTGAGTCTACACCGGTCTCGCTGTCGCGGGGATTTAAATATCCAATGGCGAGATCCGGTTTATATCTCAGGGCATCTGAATCGGAACTTGGTGGGATTGGAACAAAGTCTGTCGTCATGGTATAGTCGTGGCTGATATCGATGTTGGGTATGCCACGTGCATAGCCGGTTCGCTCTCCCTGAAAGAGCAGCAGCGGTTCCATCATGTTAACAGCACTCTTCTTGTCCATAGAGCGGGCCTCCCGATGTTGATAGACGATCTCCTGTGCAGCATGAGCTTGTTCAGGCATGACCGGCGCGTTCAGCATTTGCTCCACACGCTCACTCAGCTCTCGTGGGAACGCCTTGTCGGCACAGTCAACGATCAGATTGTGTTCGACTAGCTCGTCGATCGTGCGCCTGAACCTTTGGGAGGACGGTGTGGTCGGGGGTGCCATGCTGAGCGAAGACGAAGAAGTGAGTTGGGCGGGTGGAAAGATCAATGACTGGCTGGCGATGGTTGAGGAGGCGCTTGTCTAGCAGTCACGTCGAGCATTTTGAGCTCAAGGTCGCAAAATGCAATTTGTTTGCGCGATCGCGAGAGATATGAGCGATACATGGCGCTAATCCCATGATGGACGATATCTGCAGCTTTCCGCAAGGCGCCTCGTCGTTCTCGCAAGCCTGACCGAATCTTTTGGTGTGGATGGACGAAGGAACGAGTGTGCCTGTGGGTATATCGTAGCATGCAATCATGGACGACAGTGATTTGAGGAGGGTGGTGGCTGAGAATGGAGACGTGGGGTGGAGGAGGACGCGCTGCGCGCCAACCCTGGGACATCTGGAGCCGCTGGCATACGCCAAGCGAGCTAGTGTGCGTTACCTGTACGCTACCACGCCACTCGAGATGAACGACATTAACCCGGGCACCCTATTTAAGGGAAAAACTGAACACCTAAGAGCCTATATTAAGACAAAAGCTTGCAAAGTTAGCAGCCTAACAGCAACGTAGGCTTCTAGGTGTTTAGTTTTCCCCTTGTATAAGGTGCGGGCAAGATTGTACGACACGCACCACCAACATATGTGTGGACACTTACTCCTGGATCTTGACAGTGAGCGGAGTGAATCGCCGACGCAAGTCACCGTCGCGCCTTCCAACAGGCGCCAGATAGCTGGTTGACATGAAGGCATCGATCAAGCCGGGCACGACCTCAGAGCCCAGCTTGTCTCGCTTCGAACCAGCTCTCGGCGTCAAATTCACGTCGCTTGCCACTTCACAGACTTACGGGCACTCGACATACGTTCGCGAACGCTCCGCTGTTAACAAGCTTCATCTGTCAACACTTCCATTCACGACACTGGCGCCACGAATACCTTTGGCATCCACTTCATTGCGCCACGGACTAGTTGGACGTTCGCGAGGGATGGATCGAAGATCGCATACCCCGCTGATGTGCCTTTGTTCATTGGCTGAACGCGTAGTCACGTGTATGGCGGACCTGAGCTCGCTTAACCCCTGGCGATGACGGCACGCGTCTTGACTAGCAAAGCTCCGAACCAACCAACACCAGCATCGTTCCACACCAGCAAAGTAGCGCCGGCGCCAGCCCCATCGCATCATGGCGACCCCGCCTGGTATGACCGCCCTTGCACGTAGCCCGCTACCATTCCCGTCATCTACGACCCCTTCCGCACTTCTTGCATCCATCGTTGGCACGCGATCGTGTTTGCTAACATACACCAGCTTCGGGCCAGCCACGCCGCTCCACACGCACATCCGCACGCCCCGACTACGCCGAACCGTCGCCAGAATCGGAAGACGAAGAGCACCTTGCCGAGTGCGTCCTTCAAGAGGAGCGTCGGGAAGATGGCGTACTGTGGTACGAGGTCAAATGGGCTGGCACCGATCCGAAGACTGGTCTGCGCCACGAGCCCAGCTGGATCCCGGCCGATGGAGCAAATAAGGCGTTGAAGAAGGACTGGGAGAGACTGAAGAGACTCCGTAGGGCCCGAGATGCTCCCGCTGCTCGTACTGCCCGTCAGGCTGGAGCTACCCGTCGAGCTCAAGCTGAGCGTTCCGCCGGGGCTGCCCGTCAGGCTGAAGCCGAGCGTCTAGCTGAAGCTACTCATCAAGCTAAAGCTGAGCGCACCGCCGAGGCTGGTCATATTGTTGAAGGCGTTCGGGCGGATGAAGCTGCTCGGGAAGCCCCAGATGGTCGCGTCCCCCATACTGCCACCGCTCCCTCCGCCGGCGGGGCTGCTCCTTCGGCCGCAACACTCGAAGCCTCTGATGACGACGAATTCACACTTGCGCGCGAGTATCAACCAATAACTCCCCGGCGTGAAGAGCGCGCGATGCGCCTTCTACATCAACCTTACGAGTCCTTGCGTCGTACTCGCCAACCCTCCTGCGATCGACCTCTTCCTTCAACCGAACAACCCTACACACTCAGTGCTAGGCAGACGACGGCACCCATCTTCACACCTACGCCGCGCTCCGCTGTCTACCGTTATCAGCCCTACCCATCCAGCAGACCACCTAGCTCACCACCTATACGACGGCCTGAGTCATTACATCGGCTAATGGCGGAGGTAATGGTGGAGTCGGCGCGAAACGCTGCAAACACGGAATTGGACCGTCAATGCTTCATATGTTTCGATAGCGTCGAGACTTTTGAAGCGGATGGTATTCACTACCAGAGGCTACGTTGCTGCGGTATGTATCCCATTCGTCTACTCACCAACACCTTGACTGACTAGACCAGGGAAGCTCAGCTGCCACAACTGCTTACAGAGTTGGCTTGAGCGCGCAGACAAACCGGACGTGTGTGCGCACTGCCGACAGCCTCTCGAAGAGTTCGAACTGCAACCAACCACTCGCGAACCTTCAGCTATGAGCGAGACGCCCTCGCCGACACATACACGACGATTACGACCACTGACACGACCTTGACGACTCCAATCCATCGAACACACCAAACGGCATCGCATATACTCAGAGCATGTAGCCCAGGCATGCAACCGGCTTTGCGGCAGTTATAAAGCTTGACAAACATGTCTGGCGAGGCACAAGCATATAGGAAGAGCAATACAATAACATTTGATAGCAACATCATGTGCCATCTGGTGAAAGCAGGCGATCTTAGAGCCTGTTCTGCAGAAGCACCTGATACAAGGGGAAAACCTAAACACCCAGGAGCCTACGTCGCCGGGAGGCTACCACCTTTGCAAGCTTTTATCTTGATGTAGGCTCTTAGGTGTTCGGTTTTTCCCTTAAATGGGGTGGAAGTACGATCCTGGCTTTTAGCCTCGCTTCATACTGAAGATGAATTTGGCTTTTTCGTATCGTGTAGTACGCTCGAAACGAAATGAGAAGAATTGTGCCATGCGTTCCTGCACTCTCAATGGAATCGTGACGCGGAAGCGCTCAGCAAGTTTCTCGTTCTTTCTACAGCACATGTGAAAACGTGCGCGAGGTTGCTCACCAACCAGACGCACCGCAGATACGGGGAGTCTGATGATTGCGATGCACTCCTTATAAACGAGGAAAATCTCCATCATGGATACTTTGTCATGCGCGATCAGTGATCTACGCGATATCGCCAGCTTTATTCCATTGTTCTCGAACTCCCCCGAGTTTATACTCAGGCAGATATGCCAGCCGTGGCTGTTCATCTCTAAAGAGCCGCGAAGCGGTACGCCAGTGCCAGCTGAACGGTGTGCGACAATCACCCAACCCGCGATAAACAAGCACCTCGATTTTGTACCCTTTCTTTGCACCTTGCCAGACTATGTCAATGGTGTAGTCTGTTAGACAAGAGTGACATGATCCATTTACAAGGCTGCAGGCCATAAACGCGTCTGGGCCGGTTCCTTTAGCCAGCTCGGGGAGTGGTGAGGGATATGAATCAGGATATCCTCGCTGAAGAGTAAGATGTTTGCACACTAGGTGTCCAGAGCGGTCGATGTGGTCTCGGAGTGCTAACGAGTCACCTCGGCGATGAGTCATGGATATGGTCGATAGTATCAGGAGCTGTTGGTTGAAGATGCGTGCGTGCTGGGACCTCGAGTCTATGACTCCATCTGTGTGATGGGATGACCGGGCTCGTTCGTTAAGCACGTGAAGAGGCAAACCGTGATTACGTCCGTAGAGATGTCGGTTCATGACCAAGCGCGCATGATGGTAAGGAATCTGGCAGGTAATCGGGATGTAGAAGTGGTTGTCCGAATTTTGCTTGCATGGTAGACGCTCCAAGTAGAACGGAGGTATCGATCTACTCCAGCGCCCATGCCAGCGATGCAGCTTCGTACAGTGGTGACAGTAATAGATGTATGAAATGTCTCTTTCAAGCGACAGCATGAGCTTCTCCTTGTCTGATAGTATCAGGGGCATCCCGCATGTATCCCAGAGACCATGGAGACTCTTGCAGGTCAACGAAAGAGACGCTAGAGAGCATTCATCGAGATGCGCTACGATCATTAAGATAATCTCTGCGGGAAGATCGAGGGCACACGTTGACGGACCGCACATCTTCTGGATTGACCTTTTCAAACGATCAATGGCTTCCTGTGCGACCATGACTGGGTTTATAAGACGGAGTGGTTGCCGACGGCCCTGCTGGAGAGGTGAGACCTGGAACGCCATCATTTCGATGCGCAGGTATGGCTATTGCACCCCAAGTATAAAATGCGATGTGTTGATCGAAGAGCTGGCTTGTTTGTGTGGGTTGACGAGGATGGTCGACGTTGCGGTTCGTGTCCAGTGACAGTTCCAGTATCGATAGAAAATGGGATGTCTTTGATCTGGTCATAAGCTGCGAATCTTTTTTGTTGTGTGCGCGCCGCAGAAGCATACGGTCGTTGTGATCCAGTCCTACCATAGTGGTGCGACGTCTGAATAAATCATCTTTCTTAGGTGGATCCATGGGTGAGTTCCGGTTGGTGCTAGGCTGACTTGATTCGACCAGAACGTATCGATAAGGAAGAAGAATTGGTACGTGATATTTGGCTGTGTGGGACCAACCTTTGGCCAACCAGCATCTCACAATCTCCATATTTTGGCACCCCTATACAGCCAAGTTCCTCAGATGAGAGATGTCGCCGCTTGAAGAGCTCCGCTGGGTGGGCGAGAACACTGTCGTTACAATCGCCGCAGATACCCTTCGTCAGTCCGGATCACGATGCTTGTCACAGACTAACTTGGCAGCATGGCTGGGTAGAGCTAATCGCAAATCCGAACAAGGAAACGCGCATTGGCAAATATGAGCATTTTTCAAGAGAAATCATGTGGGTGGTCGCAAATACATGGGATACGAGTAAACTGGAGCTGTTATTGAAAGGAATTGCAGGTGGTGCTCAGCACCTAGGTAGTGGCGCACTACCTCTATGCTATCTGCACGCACAAATCGTCCATCCAGTTACCAAGTTTCATAATGAGCCTGACAAAGGTGCCTTGAACGTATGGATGGTGAGTGAATGTAATGGGTATCAAGTTCCGCGCTGCGGAGAAACGCGCACGACAAGAACATCCGTGGCCGGTACGTGGAGATGAGATTGAGACATGAGCCGCACTTGCGCAAAGCTTCGACCACAATCATGATGGGGTGATAGCCCGTGGAATAAGGAAGCCTGCTCGTCGCAATAACACTAGAAACAACATGATGAGCGCAACGCCTGAAGAAATGGACATGATGATGCGGCGTGAAGTTCGTGACCACCATGCCGATTGTGTAACAATGATCGTCGTGTGTGGTACATAGGTAGGAGCGACACGTTGGGGCGGTACCTGAGACTATGCTACCCGCAGCGACACAGGCGTGTGCGAGCAGTGAGCACCTCAAGACGCTTTGCTACGCCAAGCAATATGATCTCGTATCTCCCGCTGTGGCGAGTGATGGAGATCCCCATTCGCGGACCCAGAAGTGCTACGGCGACTTGCATGTGCGATACGACAATCCGACCAATAACTGTCATCCGGCACACGGGTGAAGAGACGATGTGGCATGGGTAAGGTGGATTTGACGCTGTCGTTGATTGGAAAGGGACGTGCAGGCGATCGTACGAGATGGGTTTCCCACAGATTTGATAAAGGTGGCATGACCTTCCATTTGCAGTCGTGTTCGTGACTCCTGCAATATACTTCCCGTATACTGTTGCCATCATCTCTTCCATCTCTCTCATTTCGATTTCCTCCATAGCTGACTTCGAGCATCCGATATCATCATCCTTGAGAATGGAGATACTTCCAGCCACTCCCGGAAAGCGCAAGTCGCCCAACGAATCTTCTGACACCCATTCCCACCCTTCCACTGTAGAGCTCTTCTACGACTGGCCCTCCGATCGTAAGATCCCACCCGAAGACGCAACGGTCGTCTACATCAACACCATGGTCGAGGCGAAGAAGCTTTCAATTGGGGATAAGATCGCTGCGGTCCGTGAAGCCATGGCTCATCTTCTACAGCGCTTCTGGACGCTCGATGGCCCTGCATGCGCGAAGAAGCATCCCCGCGAACGTATGCGCACGAAGAGTCACATCAACGCTGTGTTTGGTGCGAAGGACCTCCCGGATGCAGAAAAGATAAATGTAGTCCGCGCAGCCGCCATCCATCTTCTCCAGTGCTTCACTGCAGTGATCGAGAGAAATGCCCCTGGTAGCGTCGGTTCGGACACTCTCGAAGGTCATATTAGGGACTTGCGCGCCTCGGATGGAGCATCCACCAGCATTAGCAAGAAGACGAAGATTGTTGTCAACGCTACCCTGTATTTGCTGGAGGAGTTCTGCTTGGTCGACCCGAACACGTGCATGACGGTCTGCGAAGATGAGAACGGATCTGACACTGGCATTGGCTGTGGATTAACGGGTGAGAGGGTCTTTCATGCTACAGCAAGCGGTGCAGGCGATTAGTGTGGCCCATGAGGGTTAGATATCAAGCCGCTCCCCGTTTCGGCGTACTGTGGTTCCCTAGATCTGATTCCTATCTGGCACTTCCGGCGATTATCGTTCGTCACTGCCGCAAGGATTATATGAGTCCCCGGTCGTCGCTTAATGATGCATCAGACATGTTTTATGACGGAGCTGGCGGCACAACATGAGATATCGAGCTGGGAAGGTGACAGGGCGGTATCGAGCAGGACTTCTGTCATGTACCAGTCCCGGGTGTCGGTCCGGCATATCGATAAAGCTGAATCTATCGCATCTGTCTCCAAGCTGTATGTAAGACCGGGATACGCCCAAATCAGAAACAGCTCATTAGACTGGAGGTACTTCCAAATGGGAACGAAAGAGGGTCAACTCTCTACTTCTATACCTTCCCACGCTTGGCCAACGGTTCTTCGCTCTGGGATGGTTGACGTGAGACTTCCGATTCATTTTGTTTCTCGTGGGAAAAGCGTTGAGCTAGTTGCTCCGCCGTCGGTCGGAGCTCTGCCTCCCATGCTAAAAGTTCGACCGCAATATCCCAGAATCCTCGGTCGTCTACTCTGGCTGCGGTTGTGTCCATGATATCTCTGAAGGATTTGTAGACTGGCGCCTGGCCTAGTTTTCGATGAACTTGTTTTCCTGTGAGAAAATCGACCAGAGTGACACCAAGACTCCACACGTCTGATGGGAACGAGAAGGGCTCCGAAGACTCTTCTTCCTTTATTCGCATGACCTCAGGAGCGAGATATGTCATCGTCCCTCGATTGTGGCGAGTGCTGTGCGGGCCCAGATCGCTGCAACCAAAGTCCAGGATGATGACGTGCACTGGGCTTTCGGAGCG